AAAAAACTACTCAAGTGCTTATTATGAGGTTGCTACCTGAAACAATCTCTGCGCAAAATGTCCAGTCCACATATTCTATGATACTCTTCCAGTTCTAGATTTTAGGGCATTTGGAGGTGTATTTTAAAATCCATTCTAGAAGTGGAATATTTCAAATAATTTTTTAGTTGAAAAACATCTTTAAAGTTGCATTACATTATATTTCTTTAATAAATAAGATAAGAGTCTGGAAGAAGATTAATAACTGATAACAGAGGTATTTTACAGAGGTTTTTCATGAACGTTTTTGGCCATATGTTTAAAGGGTGCCATTGCACTTCCTACATTGTTTGAACTCTACCCCCCGCCCCTTTTCTCCACTTGCGTAGCATGAGAATGCAGGGGGCTTAAGATTTTTGAAAGCATTTAAATGTCTGGTTTTTCATTGTTTATTATGAAAAGATATGACCCATTTTATTTTCATCTATCTGAATTTAAGAATGGTGTTTATAGAAAAAAATTAAAAAGTCATACCCATTAGGCCCAGTTTTCTCCACTAGTATTAACTGACACTTTACTCACACATTCCATTCAAGTAATTGGGTTCTGAAGGCAAATGTTGAACTTCAAAAAAGAATTAAATAGTTGAAAAATGCTGAAAGCATAGCAGAAAAGCTATGATTTTATGTATTTAAGGTTTTTACAAAGAAAAAGATAAACTTTGAGGTGCTATGGCATTATGATGGTGCTGTGAGAGGAAATAGTTAACCACAGGTCAAAACTCTCAACTTATAACACTGTCAGTACCATCGTTGTGGCTTAAATACTTTTTTATTCTGTCTCCCTCTGTTGGGTGCTTTTGGCACTTGCTAAGGATGAATCTGATTTAAAAGAAACAAGTACTCCAAATCCAAAGTACTTTCTGGAGTCTTCCCCAAAGTACATAACAGAAACAAAATGTGCCTTTCAATATGATGGCTGCTCCTATTTTCTTCTGCTTTACTCGCTCCCAGAGGAGCAGAACTCGGCAAGTGGGCCTCTCCCTTCAGGGTCTCCACTTAGTTGCCATCCCCATCCAGGCCATGTGACCACGCAGCTTCTTTTAAAAGAGAAGTTTTATAATGCCGTGGTTAAGGGCTTTGGAACCGGACAATCATGAGCTCCAAACCTTAGAATTTTCTAGACCTCTTCTAAGCTTCAATGTCCTCATCAGTAAAAAGGGTTTAATAGTCCTACCTCACAGGCTTACCACGAAGATGAAAAGGGATGAGGTTTGAAGAGGGCCTCGTATAGTGCCGGGCAAGTGGCAGCTGAAAATACAGAGCCTCTCTTCTGAGTCTCTGCTGCTCTCCCTTTTCTCCTTCCCTGGAGACATACAGAAAAGAGGTGTTGGGATAAGACCCTGCATTTGCTTTTCCTGATGCATTAAGTCCTTCCCTCACCTATCATCTGTTCTACAAGTTAAGGGTAAGAAGACAAGACTTCTCATAATCAGACCTTGCTGCTGCCCCTTCTCTACCCCAGAATGAACGTTTCTCCAGCTGTCTACCCGAGCCCTCCACGCATCTTTAGGCTCTATGCGAGTTGTCTTCCCTGCCCAGAAAGCTCTTAACTTTAATCCACCCAAGTCCTACTCAACTTTGAGCACAAATAATGCTTATTTTGTGAATCTGAAGTACACTTCCTTCAGCCATCTAAGCTTCTCTCTCATCTGCACTCCCAAGGCACTTTGCACTCAGCTTTCTTAAGTCAAGGATCACCTTGGAGTTTAATGACGAATTGCTATGTCTGTCTTTCCTAGAAGAATATGAGTCTCTCCAGGGCAGAACCCATCTTCTATGCTAAACCAGGGTTTATCCTAGTGTCCGGAACTTAGTAATCAATAAGAGACTTGTAATTAAAGCGAGTGGACACTTATTCTCAATTCTACCATAAATCCTATCCTTTCCCATTCACACCAAATCTCATAATCTCTTAAAATGTTTACTGCTCTGAAAACGTGAAAGACACAATATATACATGTATCAAATCATCACATTGTACACCTTAAATTTGCACAGTGTTATATGTTCATTATACCTCAAAACACTGGAAAAATGAACATACAAATCATAAAAAATAACCACTGATACTCTGCCTCAATTGGACTCCCTTAAAAGCTGACTCTGAATCAAGGATTTTTAATGAAAGCAATTTATTTGAGAGGAGATCCCGAAGCCAGTAGAGGGGAAACTCAGATAAATGAAACAAGGATGGGGAGCCAGTCAATAAATGTGAATTATCAAGCCAGTTTCACATGGGTGACTGGGGTGGATTTCTATGGGAAAACAGTACAAAAGAGAATGTTCTCACCCGAGGAATAAAGGCACTCAAGACTGTATCTGTCTACGCCAGCCATTGGTGAGGGCTGCTGCTGCAGAGTGTCGATCCGCTGGCCCTTCCGCCTGTCACACATGCCCAGGAAGAGTAGCTACCCCCAGGTTTGGAAAGAATACCAGATTTCGCCAGACTCACCGAAGTGGTGAAGCTCACCTGAGGGATAAGAGCAGGGCACCAAAGACAGCATCCACCCCAGGCATTGACTCCCCACTAGAAGCTTCGGTAGAGCCCCAGCCGCAGCAGGCTCAACTACAACCCACTTCCAGAGGGACAAATATGAAATTTAAATAGCAACATTATTCTTCCCAGAGATAGCAGGCCAACACTGACAGGGTAAAAAGGATATTTACAACAGCTGCCCCTTATTTATAGTGTACTTCTAAGATATTGGGCTAAAAAAAAAAAATACATACATAGATCATCACCAGAAGAATGCTGCTCACAGACAGAGGTCACCCTATCACATTCTCACTGCTCTCAAGGGAAGAATCTCCTTTGATGATCCACTACCATATTTAAATGTCCTTGACTTTGAACAATTAAAATGCATTTTACATTTATTGGACATTTACTGTACATCAGTGTGCAGAGCTGAACTCATTTAATCCTCAACAGTTTCATAAGGTAATTAGTGTTATTATTTGTGTTTTTCGTATGGGAAAACTGAAGGTCAAATGAATGAAGGAATCTACTCAAAGTTATAGATTTTTGGCAAGTGGAGCTGAAACTCTCCTCCAAGTCTCTGAATCAGTATTTATGTCCTTAACTTATATTCATTAAGTTCATTGTCCCATATCCTTAACAAAGAGAAAGATCCAGTTAGTCAGTAGTTTTCATATTATTCTTTTTCAAACACCCCTTCTTTAAGCTAAATTATGTCCATTTCTTTAGTCACCTCTCATATATTGTTTTCCTACTTTTATTCATGTATGTTTCTCTCTCCCAAACTCTTAATTCTCTATATTCCTCAGTAAAATATGTTGTACTGAGATGTATACAGACTGCATCTAATTCCTGGCAAATCTATAAATCAAAAAACTATTGTTTAAAATTATCTGTAAGCATTCATGCTAAATCTTGAATTAAACTAGCCAAATAAAAACATCATGAAATTACTCCCGTCTTTTAAAATTATAGCATGTGGAACAAAAGGCAATTCAGAAGGAGAGAAAATTAATTACAATCCTCCAAATCACCAAATGGTGCTTTCAATGGTGAAAGTATTCTGATTATGCTCATAAACTAAGCTAACAAAGAAAATTCCTTCTTCAACCATCACACTCAAGAAAAATTATGAAGTAGATTTATTTTTGCAAATGTGTGGTGAGTTCTTTCATCACAGGAACTTTTCCTCTTCAGACTCTTTAAACTGGAAACGTTTCTATTAATTTCATTTTGCTTCTTTGCAAGTCATGTCCAGGGTATATGACATGCATAGGGTGACATGTTTCAACTTTTCTTGAAGATAAGCAATACTGTTGCTCTATGGGTCTTAACCATCAGCAGTTTCCAAAAACGTAACTGCATATTAATCAAAAGCATTAGTTTTTACATTCTATTTTTTAACTCTGCATTATAACCAGATAGAAGAGGCCTAAATGGGAAAAGCACAAATATAGGGTCTATGTCTATAGTACTTGACATTCAGTCTTATGTGGCCCTGAATAACATAGGAGATGCAGCTATTTGCCCCCTTATGACCTGAGTGACTCTTGGTACATATGTTGGCCTTCCCAGCTGGCACTTCCAGATCCACACTTCTCCATCCACCTGTGGGCCCTCAGCACTGAGCTTCACAGGCTCTATCATTATGACCCTTTGCCCTCCGCCTTTCAGTTGGGTTTGCGTTAGCGGGAGCACTGAATTATAAGTCAGTTTTTTTATTTTTATTTTTTAATTACAGCTGACAATCAATATTACTTTATATTAGCTCCAGGTATATATAGAGCATAGTGGTTAGACATTTATATAACTTACAAACTGATCTAAGTCTAGCACCCACCGGGCACCATACATAGTTATTACCATATTATTGATTATATTTCATATGTTGTACTTTACATCCTCATGGCTATTTTGAGAAGTACTAATTTGTACTTCTCAATCCCTTCAACTCTTTCACCCAGTCAGCTAAACCCCCTCCCATCTGGCAATCATCAGTCTGTTCTCTCCATCTAGGAGCCTGTTTTTGTGTTAGTTTTTTAACATCATATTATAGAGGTTTATTCATTCATGCAATAAATATCTATTGAGCAATTACTATGTGCCAATTTTGTACTAGTTATTGGAGATCCAGTGGTTGTTAGATAAATGTAGAGTTTATGAGTCACAATCCTAAAATTTTCCCTTTTGAATCTATTTTGAAAATATTTTTATACTGGGCTGTATTTATTAAGCAATTTACCAATTAAAAATCAAAAACAGTCAACAAATGAGTAGATAAAATAGAGCATTTAGATACAATAAAATATTACTCAGTATGAAAAAGAATAAGTACTGATACATGCTATGTACAATATAGATGAACCTCAAAAATATTAGGGTAAGTGAAAGAAGCAAGATATAAAAGTTTACATATTGTATGACTCCATCTCTATGGAATATCCAAAGTAGGTGATCCCTGAAAACATAAAGCAGATTTTTTTCCCATTAATTTGCTGCTATAGTCTTTTCAGTGATATGAGCAGTTATACGCATGGGATAAAATATCAGTGGACCACTGTCAGTGGAGACAGAATAACCATTTCGTCTCCCTTGCATGCGTAGTCTAGACATTGCTTCCGTGAAAAAAAAAAAAAAAAACAGAAAAAAGGAAAAAAACATAAAGCAGATTGGTGGTTGCAGTGGCCAGGTGGGATGGGAAGTGGGGAATGACCGCTTAGTGGGGGCAAGGTTTTGTTTGGGGTGATAGAAATGTTTTTTAACTACATAGAGGGAGTGTATGCACAACATTGTAAATGTTGTAAATGCCAATAAACTGTACATTTTGAAATGGTTAATTTTGTTACGTGAATTTCATCTCAATAAGAAGCATTAATAAAAGATAAATAAACTGCTCAGTCAGCGTTCTTTCATGAGCAATAACCAGAGATTGCTATATTAAAATGAATTACTTCCAGCTACAGACAAAAATAATTAATGCTTTAATTTGTCCACAAACTAAACTTTTGTCCTCCTTAACGAGGCAGCTTACTAACTACTGGGTTGATATATAGATTATCTCTATGTCAAGAAGTGAAGTGCAATTGAGAGGTTACGCAACATTCCAGGCATTGTACCATGGTTCATTATAAATTTGCATGTTAGCTTTCTGCTTTATGTAATAAAAATACTGATAATAATAAAAGAGGAGGATCCACAACAGTAACAATAACATCAACAACAACAATCACAACATCTAACATTTATTGAGTCTTTAGTATTACCAGGAACGGAGCTAAGTGCTTGACAAGCATCATTTCATTCAAGCTTTGTAGTAATATATGAGGTACTATTATTATCCTACTTTTTTAGATGATGACACTGAGTCTCACAAAGGTCAGATAAATTGACCAAGGCCAAAATCCAATAAAAAGCAAAGCCAGCGTTTCACCAACCAGCTTGTCTCCAACTACCCAGGGGTTGATCTCTCTGCTAAACTGCTGTACATAAAGCTTTGGTGGGTTTGCTAAACTCTGTTTAGTTTCCCTGATGTCATACAATTCAAGCACTAACAAAACTGGGTACCTAGGCCAAAAGCTGAGTGCCAGAGCGTGTTCGATGGCAGCCCAGGGTCCCAGAAAAGCCCAGACAGTATATTAACCAGTTGACAAACTAAGACAATGTTTCCACCTAGCCACTCTTTAATCCTAAATTTATGAGCCTTTAAAATAATGAGAATTATATACCCAAAACGATACATTTACACAGTGGAATACTACTCAGCCACAGAAAAAGATAATTTTACCCTTTACAACAGCATGGATGGAACTGGAGAACATTATCCTAAGTGAAGTAAGCCAGTCAGAGAAAGACAAGTATCATAGGATTTCACTCATATGTGGAATCTAATGAACAAAGTAAGTGAACAAGCAAAATAGAGACAGACTTGTGGATGGAGAGCAGGAGGACAATTTTGAGGAGGGTCAGTAGGGTGGAGGGATTGAGCAAAAAATTTAAAAAAGGCACTTGTGGACACAGACAACAGTGTGGTGATTGTGGGACGGGGTGGAGGTAGAAGAGGGTGTTGGGGGAATAAACGGTGATGGAAAAAAAGGTAAATGAAAATTTTTAAAAATAAAATAAAATAAATTTTAAAAAGAGAACTATTACCCAAACTAGAAAATCTATTAAAAACTACCTCTAAAGAAGTATTCTTTTCTTCAATAATTGATTTAGTGAATCATTAAAATATCAAAGTATCAAATAAAATACGTTTTTCAATTTTAGACACAAAAGTATGTCTATTAAGATACACAGGGTGGAGCAAAAGTAGGTTTACAGTTGTACATATGCAAAACAGAGCTTATTCTTATATTATTACCTATTAATTATTGTATTACTTTCCATACAAACCACTGTAAACCTACTTTTGCCCCACCCTGCATTCAATTTTACAATAAGAACATCGGTAATGTGGGGCCTGTAAAGTTGTATCACCCTGAACAATTATTCTGATCCACTTTGCCCTATAAAAAGAACTTTGGTCAAGAAACAAAACTTTTTACATGTTCCATCCAATTGACTTAACAGCAAAGCTCTGTTATACCCATAGCATCAGTTCTACATGATATATGTTCTTTTCAAAGGTAGTTGTAAAATAAAAATTCCATTTATGCAGTCCTTAGGAGAAATAGGTCAGTATTATTATCAAGCATTAGTTTATTGAAACTTTTAAACTGCCAGACATGTGCAGCTGGTTTTAGGTCCTATTATAGAAAACAATAACATAAAAATATTGCCCATCAATTTATGGGACTTACAGCACACAGTCCCCACTTGGAACTCATTTGATCATTGCTGTGACTCCTTAAATGCACATTTCCCATGTATGCTCCACATAATGTTAAAGAAAGATTCAAAAGGAAGTATACTAAACAACCCAGATGTGTCATAGTACAAATGATTCTTCATCTGAAACTCACGAAGGAAAATGCCAATCAATCAGAATGCTTGGGAATGAGAGTTCTGATTAATTACATATTCTGGATTATAGGAAATACTATATTTCCACAGTGGTTAACACACTCCTTAGCAGTTTTTGTGTTGATTTTATTGTATTTGTGAGCACAGCAAAGCAATGATCTCAGAGTTACACATTTTTCCAATTTCTAAACATTATTCTTAATATTCTCACCATGATTAGCTCAAAGTAGACACTCAAAACAATGTGCCAACCCACTGCAGATGCTCTTGATGCTTGTGGATAGATAAACATTACAACAGCCTTTGCTCCCCAGATATTCCTTGAAGTTCATTGACTTCTTTACATCTAGTGGGCCTCTTCATACTTGTTCTGGCAAGGAGTCTATGAAATTCTAAGTTCCTGCTTTGCTCACAATCCCCTTTTAAGAATAACAGCCCAAGAGACACTTTTTGCAAAGAGCTGCTATAATTCACACCGTCTATGCTGAGTAAAATTGCTACTCTGGCCTCAGAGAAAGGTCTGCAGGTTAAAGGCAAGTCACCACACAGTGTGGATATGAAGGGGGCCGCCCCCTACAAAGTGGATTATATAAACCTTGGCAGGCCCGCAACTTCATTGTGGTTAGTGACAAGCAGACCACATCACATTATTTTCTTCCTGAGAAGTACTAATTCCAGTCTTGGAAATTTGAGATCCCAAAGTGTCTATATATTTGAAAACTCTGTGGTCCCTTGCATCCTTGCAACAAAGTCTCGTTACGTAGAAGCACAACATACTAGCAAAAGAAGTACATGAAATAGTAGACGCAGTATACAGGTTCCTTCTGACCAACACATTTTTAATGGTCAATTTAAACCTAATCAACCCAGATTTTAGTACTTAGACGAAAATAGAGCCATGGAAACAATGCAGACGTAGGAGCCAAAATCACATTTAAATCCAGATACCTTGGCTTTACCATTTAATAGGCTATCAGGTAATATTAGAGACGTTATGATGACTCTCACTAAGCCTCTGTCTCCCATCTTTGCAATGGGAATATCTTACTTCGCAAATTCTTATAAGCAAAGGAACTAGTACTGGAGTCTTTCACACAGGCATAATTCAAGAATATTTATTCCCTTCTCAATCCTGTCCCTGACTCCCTATTTTACCTTTTAAAAGTGTTTATGCCACCAAGATCCAATTAAATGACATTCTTACTGCCAAATTAAAAAAAAAAAAAAAAGCAGGTACAATTAAAGGGAAAATCCTGAAGTAGACAAAAATGCTCAGAGTTGAGCCAGGGAGGAGACAAGAGACTTTAAAATGGTAACAATTATTATCATTTGAATATTGATATTGGACGGTCTTTTTGTTCACTTTATAAGTGATACGTAAAATCAGGTCACACTCTCCAAGACTAACAAATGGAAGTTAGAATGGGAAAATAGTCTCTGTTGTTTTATTCATTTCCATAAGAATCCAAGAAAATCATAGAGAAATCAAAACATGACCAAAGAATATGACATATTAAAAACTCTATTTTCACCCAAACTTTGTCAAACTTTTCATAAGCTCACCTTGGCTTCAGATGAAACTTTCTTATTTTGTCTAAACGAGCCCATCTGATTCCCTCAACTGTAAATTCAGCTCATGTTCTCAGAGGAGGATCTTTTCTCCCTTCACTTTCCATTTACTACCCTCTGCTACTTTTCTCCAAAATCCCTATAACAAATATTAGCTTACATGCAAGGAAAAGCAAGCAGAGTTTTTAAATGGGCCAGTGGCGGCATTCTTAAAAATAACCCTGAAGAACAACACTCACTTATCCAATGAAAACATGAGCAGAATTCAGAATAGTTATACTGTGGGATTTGTACATTTATCTGCTCTTTGAAAAGGTAAAATAAACATGAAAAATTCCGTAAAATCCTAACCAAAAGTCACCTGCCATCACCACCACTCTGTTCTTTCCAATAAACACTTGTTGGCGGAGGCAGGAGGGAAATCGAAGTCTCTTGCCTCTTGAAGTGACAAGCACATTCCTTCCTCGTTCGCCAAGCTGCCTCTCCCCTCCGAAGCTCCAGCTGTTCTCTAAACCCAGACATTGTTCCTTCACTGGCCGGCCTCTGGCTCTAACTCTTCGCCAAGACTGTTTCTCCCTGAAATCTCTTGAGGACACTAGCAGCCAGGACTTGGAAAGTCTGTGCCTACTTAAAGCGAGTTGGGTTTTTGGCAGAGAGAGAAAGAGGGAGAGAAAGGGGGAGAGAGATGAATGGGAAATACTGTGTGTCAGCACGAGAACTCAAACGATTGTGTTTGGACAATGCATGCTGCTCTGGTGCTGCCAAGCGATGGCTGGTAATTCTCATAGTGCTTTCCAGACGTTACTGTGGACTCCTTTTTCACAGTTGTTCACAGCCGGGGACCCCCAACCCCTACGGCGGGAAATAAAAACCGCTCACAAGATAAGCATGTCTATTATGACTACAGTTTCTTTCATTTGTCATATGAATGAGAAAATTCCTAGGACTATGGGATACTGGGAGAGGGGGAGTTAAACCCATTCATTTATACAAATAAACTCCAAAAAGACAATGTGAATTAATTTTTCCTCAGAGGTTATAAGGAGTGAATTGTTTATGTTCCCTAATTAATAATGCTCCTCCC